CCAAGTCATTTTAAGCCACTATTACCGACTTCAACCTTAGTAAAAATTCCATGGTGACTGAGTGTTGCAGAACTTGAATCAAGCCATACAAGTGCTAAAATTACATACCCCGTAAAAACATCACCATGACAGATGGAAGCTTATAATGACTTGGCATGAATTACACTTGCATTAAAAAACACCATTCTCACAAAACTGTGTAAAGAAAGGCTATGCTATCTAATAACTCTTTATATAGCCAGTGAAATATCAACAACATCATCCATAGATCTCTGAGATATGAGAGAGACATTGTGAGCAGAATCTATGTCCACACAGAAGGGTTTTCCACTTTGAAGAAATGGTATAGCATATTGAACATTGACATTGATGCTTCAGCTGATAGATCATCAAGGTTTTCTTTCATCAGCTCTGCACAGTGGTTTGATTTCTAGCTTGATGTTCCACTTTCTCAGATGCTGCAGTTCTTCTTGTATGTCTCTGAGCTTCGCGGACTCTGCTTCAAATATGGTGTGAATTTCTTGATTTGCTGTCATTTATTCTAATATCAGCAAAGGGCAAGGCCGGCTCAGCTGGGAGAAAGATCCTATCAGAACTACTTTCAAGTTTAGTATTTTGTATTTCTTCAGTGGCTGTGATGTGGTTGTGGAGGAATTGAGAAGTGTTGAGTCATTAAACAGAGCCTCATATTCTGAGAGGGCTGTAGTCCACAACGCATCTCTTTCTCCGCAGCTCTCACTCTCATGGTGAGGACTGAGATGTCCCTGCTGAATTTTCGACAATGATGCTGTGGGGTTCGGATGTAGAAGTCATGGCTGAACATGCTTGTTGATGGTTGAGTCGTCTTGGAGGCAATGTCAATAGAAGCCCTCAGTGAATTTCCTGTGGCAGCGGATGAAGAGTGGAAAACAAATTGAAATAAGATGGAGGCTGGGGTGGGGGGGCAGGCCATATTTATACCCAAAAAATGAAGAAGAGGTCACAGGATTTTACCTCGCGTGTTGATGTATAGCCTTGTGAAATTGAGATGGTGGAAAGGCGTGCAGGATGTTGCTCTAACTGCCAATCAGGACTTAATATCTACAGTTGCAAAATGTTAATTCATTCTCTTCCCATGACTTAGATCATGAATACAGCTAAAAACAGCTCTGTTGTCATCCTTCTTCAATACTTGAAAAGTCCACCCATGATAAAGTGTAGCTAGCAGTTGAAGATGCTGCTGAAACCCAGAATCCACTCATCTCTTCTTCACTATAAAGATGTCCGATACAAAGACTTTCTCGAAGAGTGGGCTCCGCTCCGCTGTGAAGTCCCAACCTGGATAGAGGGCAGATGGATCCATGAGAGTGCAGTGTATCATGGCACATTGTTGAACGGCAGGGCAGTATGCACTGCGTGAGGACAAAATATCCTCTATCCTCAAATGGAGTCGACTAAACAAACAGACTGACTTATTTGACGAAGCAACCTTCACTTCAGGGTCAATCAAGCCCCAAAGCAATCACCTCACATCATTCGCATCGAGCCACTTGTCATTAAAACCACGTAGAATACATCGCGTCGCTTCCGCCATGTAGTCAAGCGCCTCCTAACAGAAATTCCAGTAAATGCATGCTGCTTCATGACCAACAACAGTCTTACTTGTTCATCATTTGATACTGCTTGTTAATGTTAGAGCGAGGTTTCCGTTCATGTTCCAATCTGAAGAGAATATATTTCAACTGAAAAGAAACTCAGTATGCACCAGGATCTGGAATTGCATAATTCAAAAGGAAAGCTCCAGACAGTAGATGGCACAAAACCCACAGAATGGTCCTCGACTGGTGTAAGTAGGGAAATAACCTGTGAAGAGAGAAGTAAGGAATAAATATCCATGGCAAATGAGCAAGTAAACCATTTCTTGTCTATTCAGATATAGCTACAGATGCTCTGTCTGTGCTTCATATGCAAAGGTGTCTACTTACAAGGCAACACAGGGCAACCTATCAACAATTCAGCTGGCAAAAGAGTGTCTGTGCTTGGATCCATCTGGTGGAGGATTGAGCTGACATCTTGACATTGTTCTCTGCCGCGACAGATGAGGCGGCCAGCACTTTGGCAGGCCAACTCCGGAAAAAATCCAGCAAAGGGTGGTTGGCCTGGTTGAGTTTGATATCTTGGCATTTAAGACTTGCCTGTTTTGTCGTTGTTTGCTGGCTGCATCCACGCTTCCCTCCCACCATGCTATGAACTCTACGCTTCGTCTGCATCACCCTTAGTCAATCATTATACAGAGTTTAATGGACTGCTGCAGCCGGTATATGCACTCCCGACCTAGTCAGACAGTACTAGCAATGTAGCGGCAGCAGCGGCGCAGCAGCAAAAGACAGAGGCCAATCCCAGCCAAGACCTAACATGATATCCGTCCAAGAAGACAAATATGATTGCAAATGACTGGCAGAAGAAGGGCCAAAAATGCGGATCTTGCTATTGCATGAAATTTGCAGTGCAGCAACAAAAATCTCCATCAAGAGAAGCATCCCAGCTCCAGGAGACAAATCTGTCTCAGGAAAACAGAATGTGATTGCAGATAACATCCATGATTGAATATGTCATGCTTTTGCCAGTCTCTTTTCAGCAGGGCGCAATAACAGATTACTAAGAACTAAGAAAAAAGAAGGCATCACTGTGTCAGAGGCAGCACAGCATGAGGGGTAAATGGAAAGTGAGAGGGAAATGAGAATCAAAAAAGGAATGGAAGCAGAACCCGTTGGTTGAAGCAGCAAAGGCATCATGGTCCTTATATTGGTAGAGGCGGTGCGGCGTTGCGGCGTTGCGGCGCCTTTCCCGAATAGGCACGCTATGCCGAAAGTGGGAATTAGGCGTGGTCAGAGAGTACAAATACCGACAATGACATCATCCACCACGCACCCATCCCCGGCCAGCCAATCACAGCAGCGCAGATCGTCTCGGGGCTGTTTCAGATGCCCACTATGCCGCAACCAGCCTAGGCTGCCCCACCGCGGGTCCCGTCTGGGCAGGGATCGCCCGTGAACTGCAGGTGTCATAGGGGCGGTGGAGGGCGGTGGAGGGCTGTGATTGGCCGTTGGATTGGCAGTCTGCAGCAGCTTCGATCTTCTCTTCCCAACACATCCATACCTCCATGCAGGTTTACTCCCGGAGTACGGAGTACACGTACCGGAAACACGACGAAGATCCCAATCAGTTAGTCAGTCAACGTGTTGCTGTCCACGGATCCCCTTTTTTGTTTCTCCGTTGTTTCTTTCTTTTTTCTTCTTCTTTTCCTCTTCTTCTTCTTCTACACAACACACTGCTCAGCAACGGCCTGTCTCTCTATCTCCTCGTCTTCTCATCCCACCGCCATGCGTCCGTGATCTACCGGGCTTGGGAGGGCGTTTTTGTTGCTGTTGCTGTTGCTGTTGCTGCTGCTGCTGCTGCTGCTGCTTAAGCTTCGTCCCCGTTCCAGGTTCACGTGGGGCCTTCCACGGTTCTCCCTCAGCCTGTGTTTGGCATCCACAGTGTTACCCAGTATTACCCATAATACCCATAATACCCATATTACCCATATTACCCATATTACCCCGCCGTCGACCTCCCTCCCCCCCCCCAAAACACGCTCCTCCCGCTCGACTGCCATGCCCGCTCCTCTCCGCTCCGCCCCCGGCCTACTCCAGCTGCCACCATGATTACCTTCCGCCGTTCCGTCGCGGCGACTCTCCTTCTCCTCGCCAGCTTCTACTTCCTCCTCTCCTCCCGCTCCCACTCCTGCTTCCGTCTTTGCCACCCACGCCCACTTCCCATTCGTAAGGCTGCACTGAAGTCCGTTGCTGCGTCCTCCGAGTCGCCGCCCTCTGCCCACAACGAATCGCTCCCTCCCACATCCGCAGCAGCCTCGCTGTCCCCCGAGGAACTTGCCTGCAAGCCCCTCCGCGAACGCCTCCGCTACCAATTCCCCTATGACGTCCACGCCAAATTCCCCGCCTACATCTGGCAGACCTGGAAATACACCCCCGCATCCGGTAAGTTCGGCGACAAGTTCCGCCCCATGGAGGCTAGCTGGACGGAGCTGCACCCGTCCTTCGTGCACGAGGTCATCACCGACGACGACGCCGACCCCCTGCTGAGATACCTCTACGCCCCCTTCCCTGAAATGCTCGACGCCTACAGCTCCGTCCCCTTACCCGTTCTCAGTGCCGACTTCTTTCGCTACATCATTCTCCTCGACTGTGGCGGCATCTATACCGACCTCGACACCTACGCCCTGAAG